TTATTATTGTTCCAAGTCCTATTGATTGGAAGAGCTATTGTTTTTGTTAAAGAGAAGAAGGCCTTGAGCACAAGGAACTGCAATGGCTTCATCATCAGAATCGAAAAGAGTTTAAGGTTTTCATTCTTAGGCTTTCTTGTTAATTGTTTGTATGAGTTGTGATTTGATTGGTTGAATCTACATTCTTCGATTAAGAGGCTATAAACTTGTTCTTACATCTGATCCATCTCTTAACATAGAAATTCATCTAGGAGCTCCTAAATATAAGAAGGGAGAAGGGAGCTCTTAAAATAACTTTTAAATAATTTTAGCTAAATTTTTTTTATAAAATAGAGATCATGATTGGAGATGCTCTAAATCTGAAATTTAATTGGTTCATGACTACACCTCATGTTGTTACAATCTTACAAGTTAAACAAGTTAAGCTATGAGTGCGCATACCTGTAATATACATATATCGAAGATAATGTAGCTCTATTTGTAACAAACTTACGTGCTGCGGTCACACCAAAAAATTCATTCACTAACTTATCATCTAATTTTCTTTTTAACGAAAAGAAAGATATCACTACTTCGTATACTTCAAACTTACAAGTTAAATATAGTAGCCTCGCTAAAACTTTACCATCCTAACAAATTTTTTTATTATAAATACTTTCAATCAAAATTACTTTTTTTTTCTTTATAGTTTTCCGAAACTTAATGAGCTTATTTTTTTAACCAGCAGCCCTACTTTTATTTTTAGCCTACAAAATCACATGAGCTAGCTAGCTATTTTCTCAAAGGAAGTTGGATGAAGGAACATTACACATGTTTAATATAAAAGAAAACTAATGAAAATGGTTTGAAAACTTCAAGTTCTAACGATAAGGATAAAATAAATAGTAAAATGAATAGTACCATGATTGCCTTTTTAGTATAAAAATGTGATTTTTTTTGTTAAAGTGAGCAGTATCGAGAGTTTTTCGTTAAAGTTTCATAATTAAACTAGTTTCACAAAAATATCGAATGAAGATGTCAACTTTTAAATTGGAACTAATTAAACACCAAATTTTGCTTGTTAAGACATTGTATTTTGCGCACAGATCCAGAAATTCAGAGAATTAGTATGCAATATTCTTTATTTCTTTCTTTGGGCGCCGTTAGTCTGAACTTGTGTGTACACATCAACCTATTTATTAACCTTTTCTCCGTCTTTCTCTGTGGTCAATCCCTCCAGTTTCTCAATAAGACAAACCTAGCTGCCCATGCATGCAAACCAATTAAAGAGCAATTCTCCACGACTCCATATGGATTCTTAATTTGTCCACCCATGAGTTAGGCAGACTCAAAGAAAAAATGAGACAAATTTTTTTTGCAAAAGATATTTTAAGTACTCTGTTCTACGAAGGATTTTAAGATTTGGTGCATCTTATTCTAGCCGACTAATTTAATCTACGTCTAGAATTTAAACTGAAAAATGTTACAACTAGTAATTAAATATAAATAAAATAAGGTAGTGTTACGAGTTATTTACACACATATTTTTACTTTTACACATTCATTTTTATCTATCATGCATATCTTTTAATTTTTCAATCGTCAAATTAAATGAATTAAAATATCACATGATAAAAATTAATAAATAATATGTCAGAAATAAAAAAAAGTATGTGAATAACATTATTATTAAAATAATCAAACGGTAATATCCATTAATGCAGGGTAACAGTGAAAGTGCATGGAAAGTCTTTGGATGATCAAATGTGCGAAGAAAAAATATTTTAGCGAAGACCACCAACACTTTTCTGCATGCTAAAGCCAAAAAGGAGGTTCAAAAAGTTCGGATGTTGAAGTTTCTTTTTCAAAAGAAAACTCAATTGATAACAGAGTCAAGGTAAACGAAAGGAAGCTGGTCGAGCGTTGGTTTTTCTTTGTTGGGTACACGGTCGATGCAGAAACCTTAGCCATCCTTTCAAAGGAAGCATTTATTAGAATTAAAGCAACAGAACAAGAACGTCACAAGAATTTGAAAATTGGTACACCAAAGACAAAGTAAAGGGATTCGGTGCACGCAAAATAATCAACAGTATGTTTTTTCGACTCAAAAAAATATATATAATAATAGATCACTGTTTTAAAAAGTCATGCTTAGACGTTTGGCGGTTGGTTACGGTCACGATTAATATTTAGACGTTTAAAAAATAAGAAACCACGTTTAGACTTACTTATGCGCCCGCCTAGGTTGCCTAACTCGGTCGCGATTCTCACATTGACAGAAAATAGATAACTTTTATTTTGTATTTTGTTAATAAATTGAAAGAGACTTGTTGGATACTCTTTTTTTTTGATGAAAAAAAATGCATTAAAAAGAGAAACTTCGCGAACATCCTAAATCGTTACAATGACATAAGTGAGCCGTAATGATCTTAGCAGGGAGTTTCAATCCCAAATAAACATATTAGGAGGATTAAGACCAAAGTTAGTCGTATGCTTCCAAGTTAAGCACTAAAAAGAAGAAGCCGCCAACCATTTAATATTTGCAATTGTATCACGAATTCTCCAAGAGACATTACATTCATTCTCAAGTAAATGTAGTTAGCTTATACAAGCTTTTGATTTTTAATAAGTCTTGATCTAAGTGACAATAAGATATGAATTAGGTACTAATCTTCAAGTCTTATTCAATCACTTGATAATTTTAATAATCGCCGTATGCTAAGATCCATCCATTAATTTATCGAAATTTCAAATGAAAATCAAATGTGTGGACTTTGAATAAAAGGTCATGTACTGCCAAGTAAAACTCTGATTTTTACAGTAAAAAATTCAGGTATTATCTGCGTAAGCCAGAGAAGAATCCAAGGGAGGAAGACAAAATATATGGAATTATCAGACAACCAATGGGAAATTCAAGATTTATTCAACTTAATTAATATGGAGCAGATCCGTGACATACATTTTTCTACACACTTCGTAATGCATTTTAATGATTTGAACCGTCTACATTTAGAACATTATTCATAGAGCATCCTTATAAAAAATTAGATGAATTTAAAACTATCAAGACTTTCAATTGCAATGAAGACAATGAACGAATACGGTTTTATAAATAAACCTAAATTCTTAATCTATTGATCCTATGACTTTATATTTGAATTTTTTTTTTTGGGTAGATATGATGATATTTGAAGGAAGAACTAAAACATAAACGATTCGACTTGTTAAACTACATTACGAAATGAATTTGACAAAATATGTGTCAAAAATTGTATAAATAAAATAGTGCCACTAATCTGGCCCCTAAATATATTAATGTAGTAGTAATTACAATCGATAATAATCGAAAGTAAAAAACAAAATAAAGTCTAAGCAAGTGACCCGGTCCCACAGGTAAACAGTCAACATAGTTCCCGGACAGATCTGATACGTGGAGGAAAATGTCATGGTAGGTGGGGGGAGGTGAGGGGAGACTAAGCCACTGCTTCTCCCGGTCATCAGTCACAGCAAGAAAGAGAGAGAGGCGGGCCGTCAAACTCATTGACTTGGTTTGGGCTAGATGGGCCCCATTTGGCCTTTTTTCTTATTTCGTCACGTGGAAGGCGCCGCACAGCTCGGGGCGGTGCGATTCATCTCTTTTTTCCTCCCTTCCGTTGTGTTTTTACTTTTTCTTTTGATTTATGGGAATGAGTCGAACTCTTTCCTTACGAAATGTGGACGAAACCTCGTCCAATTAAAACACCATTTTGCCTTTCTACACACGTCCACATATAGCAATGTTTCGGTATATTAGTTACGTGATGTTATTAATAAACGTATTTTTATAAATAAATTTGATATAATTCTCGTATTGGCAGACATTATTTTAATTCACTCATACTGCTTCAAGTGATATATCTAACATGTCGTTCAGATAAAATTTGTGTTCAACTAACTATACACATTTCTAAATAGAATCGATTGAGATCTCAAATATGAACTAAAGAAAAGACATACAAGAGGCTTTATTTTTGTATTTATTACCACAACACAAAGTAAATTAGTAACACAAGATACAAGTATAAATTTTAGTATGATTTTATCCCCACACCCTTTTACACCTTTCACATAGCTCTCAACTTCGACCTTCAAATTTAAACAAATTAAAAGTAAATAATTAACATAAATACATAAAATGTAAAAATTAATTTAAGAATAACACCACCTAAACATTAACATAATAACAATACTTACAATATGACCGTCGTACTAAAACCTTTCTCCATCGCACTGTGACTCTTTGTTTATTTGGGTTGCGTCAAAAATTAAAACGAGGTGGCTTGGCGTTGACAGATGGCAGACTGACGCACCATCTGACGCAAGCGATGAAAATTAAAGTAATAAAAAAATGAATAATCCCATGAATTTCTCACAAATCCAATCTAGTTGTTCTAAGTTTGGTCTACGTCCATACCCTTTTTATAGGCGATCACATTGCACCGGTAAAAGACTTCAGAGACTGCACCACCCACACACACCCCTCATCTCTCTCTCTCTTTCTCTCTCTCTCTCTCAAAACCCTCCTCCTTCATTTTCTTAATCTCTCTCTTAATTACCACTTGTTCATATCGGCAAAACATTAATTTATGGACAAAGGATGGGGGCTCACCCTTGATTCTGACTCCTGCGGCTTCCTCCTCAACAAGCCGCCCACCGCGGCGGTTAAGCTCGACCACAACCACAATAACAACAAGAGAAGCAGTTTTTTTAGTGGGGAAAGGATGTTTTCGGGAATGGAATTCCCTGTCAAACTTGGCAGCCGGGAAGAGCAGACTGCATCACAGCCGTCCAATGACAACGATCGGATGGTTGTGGATGAGGTGGACTTCTTTTCTGATCGTAAGAACAAGCTCAAAAGCAATAGTACTGATGATCATCATCAGGATTCGAGATCCAATGATGCAATGAGTGTCAAGAAGGAGAATTGGACTGGTTTGGATGTTAATGTAAGCACCCCTTTTTATTTCTTTATTTTATTCTTTATTTTTTGGTGATTGATTTTTAGTGGTACTTATTTTTCTTTCTTGGATCTAAATAATATGTAGACTGGATTGCACCTTGTTACTGCGAACACCGGAAGTGATCAGTCGATGGTTGATGATGGGACTTCTTCTGATCGTGCGGATGACAAAAGAGCAAAGAATCATGAGGTAAGACTTTAGAATTATATGAACACCTGATGTGATCAATCGCTGTGACGGTATTTTAAGTTATTTACGCATTATCATAAAAAAGTGTAACATATACGTAATTGACTTGAAATATGATGATCAGCTGGCACAGTTGCAAGTGGAGCTCCAACGTATGAATGCTGAAAACCAGAGGCTGAAAGAGATGCTAGGTCAAGTGACCAACAACTACAGTGCATTACAGATGCATCTTGCTGCAGTTGTACAACAACAACATAATCACACTACTGCAGCTCCAGCTGATCAGAGCTCACAATTACACCATGATCAGGTAATTCGTTCATATCCGTAATCATTGCAATCATATTTATAAGATGACAAGAATTTAAACAACCCTAATTTACAGAAAGATAAACTGCCTAGCCAACTAGTTTAATTCACGGCTTTAGTATTATCTAATATATTGACTCTTTTTTGGTAAATTCTTATCAGAATGCTGAGGCAAAGGCTGATCAAGGTAAGAAACAAGGGTTGGTGCCAAGACAATTTCTAAATTTGGGTCCGAGAGCCACAGCCGAGGCGACTGATGACCAAGTTTCCAATAGTTCATCGGAAGCGAGAACCGGATCAGCTTCACCACCTCAAAACATCAGTGAAGTTGCATCACCGAAAAACGGTCAGATTGGTCCGTTGGATCCGGAAAACTCTAATACTTTCCGTGACGGGAAAAGAGTTGGCAGGGATGAGAGTCCTGAATCTGAATCAGAAGGATGGGTGCCCGACAAGGTCCCCAAGCTCAACAATTCTGCGGCTCCTAAGCCAATTGATCAATCAACCGAGGCTACCATGAGGAAAGCCCGCGTCTCCGTTCGAGCCAGATCAGAAGCCTCCATGGTAATTAATCTAATTGATTTTAACTTTCATTAGTAACACTTCAAAACAGTCATCCTTCGCTCATGCTGAATAAATAAATAATAAACTTAGTAGTTTAATAACTCAATTATCAATCTCAAGTTTCATGAAACTAATTAAATTTTGATTAATCACAGATTACTGATGGGTGTCAATGGAGAAAGTATGGACAGAAGATGGCAAAAGGGAACCCATGTCCTCGTGCATATTATAGGTGCACCATGGCTGTAGGCTGTCCTGTTCGCAAACAAGTACGTATACATTTGCAGAAATTTTCTGTGCAAAACGTTCATTGTCTATTGGTTTAGTATGTTAAAAATATATCGATAACATATCACTTATGAATGTACTAATATGTATGTGTTACTATTTTGATAGGTACAACGTTGTGCGGAGGACAGAACCATACTGATCACAACATATGAAGGCAATCACAATCACCCACTGCCCCCCGCTGCAATGGCCATGGCATCAACCACCACGGCAGCTGCCAGCATGTTGCTTTCGGGGTCCATGTCAAGTGCGGACGGGATGAATATGAACCCTAATAATTTGCTAGCCAGAGCAATTCTTCCATGCTCATCAAGTGTTGCCACAATCTCAGCCTCAGCTCCATTTCCAACTGTTACATTGGACCTTACCACATCGCCATCATGTCCAAAGACCAAACACCCCATTTCAAGTCCCTAATTTCCCAGGGCAACCCCCGAGTTTTGGGGCAGCTTCACATCAACTGCCTCAAGTTTTTGGGCAAGCCCTTTACAACCAGTCTAAGTTTTCAGGACTTCAGCTGTCCCAGGATACAATGGGGTCTACTAGTTCACAAAAACAAATGCAGCAAACGCAATCTTCCTCCTTTGCTGACACAGTGAGTGCCATCACGGCTGATCCGAGCTTCACTGCTGCTCTCGCGGCGCTATAACCTCGATCATTGGCGGAGGAGCTCATCCGAGCAACACCACCACCAACAGCGCCTCCCCCATGTCCAACAACAGCAGCGGTGCCAACAACAACAACAAGATTAGTGGTTTCCCGGGAAATTAATTAGAAATGTGGCATCTATTGTTTTTGTTAATTTATTTTTTGGCTTTAAAGAAAGTTGGTAACCTGTCGATACATTTTGTTTTTTTTTTTTTGTTTTTTTTTGTTTTTGTTTTTTTTGGGGAGGGTTTAGATCGAACCCAACTTCATTCTTTCTTTCTTTTTCATTTGTGTTTTGTTTTGAATAATTTGATTCAAAATTTTCAGTAAATATACACATACAAAAAGGAAAAAGGTTTGGTTTAATGTATTTACTATTCCAATCAGTGCACTACTACATGTTTAATATTTCATATATTATTAGTTGATTTCCTTCTAATCTAATACATGATGATTATGTTCAATTAAAACAACATTGACGATACAGACAGAAATCGTTGTTTAGAAGAAAACCCTAAGTAAAAACCAGAAGATAATAGAGAGAGAGAAAGAATAAAGCGGAATATTCTGATACTATGTGTGAGGGTGAGGCCGCAGTCAACCAAATCGGCCATTTTATTTGACACGTAAGAAAAAACCATGGACTTGGAAGAGACTGCCAGGCAACTACGTTGTGTGTTAAATTAAATGAGTCCTGAATAATTTAGAAAAAATGAGGTCAAATTCATAAAAAATTATAAAGAAAAAAAGAAGACAACGTTCGATGTATGTTGGTTGAAGTTGAGTAGTTTCGTGGCTTGTGGGCTGCTAATTTTCAATTGGATACGTTGTTGACTTTCTGTGCAAGTTGTTTGACATCACGTCATTGCCATTGAATTTTGAATCCAGATCCCAATCAATCATGTGAATTTCTAATTTGGTTATTTATAAATAGTAAAAGAAAAGTTGAAAAAATTATAGTAAAATAGCAAACGTGGAGCATCGTGGCCCGCATCCGTACCTCATCCACCGTACGAAGGGATCTTTTAGTTTTTATGGATATGGACTCTCTGGATCGATGGCTTTCGTCTTCATGCCATGTTCATGGCGGTGGATAGGAAGTGCTGTCTTTTATGATATTCACGTGCATGCATATGGCCAAAAACACCTTGCCTCAACTTATTGAAAAATAGTTCGATGTTATTTATATTAGGAGAAATATTCTCATTAATTAAAATAATAACTTTTACAATATGAGTATTTATACACAACTATCACAACCATCACAGTTGTCATTACAACTAACAGAAAGTGTAACTAAACTAACAGACTAAACATTCCTTAGCCTCTAAGTATTATCCCTTGAAGGTGTAATTACATTTTTATCCTTAATATCCCCCCGCAAACGAAACTGGGGTAATCGCAGTTGGAGTTTGTCACGAAGAAGGATGAACCGAGGTTGTGACAGAGATTTGGTGCAAATATTTGCCACCTGATCCTGGGTACAAATAAACTGCACAGAAATTTGATTGGCTAGAACCTTTTCACGAATATAATGGTAATCAAGCTCGACATGCTTTGTTCGAGCATGAAAAATAGGATTTTTCGCTAAGGAAATGGCAGAGAGATTGTCACACCAGATCGTGGGAGAATGAGGCAGAGAATAAGAGAGGTCCGCAAGAAGTTTACATATCCATGTGATTTCTGCAGCCGTATTTGCAAGAGAGCGATATTCCGCTTCAGTGGAGGAACGAGCAACAGTAGGTTGCTTCTTGGCACTCCAACTAATGAGAGAGTTGCCAAAATAGACACAGTATCCACCTGTAGATCTTCTGTCCAAGGAACAGCCCGCCCAATCGGCATCAGAAAAGGCTTGAATAGATGGAACTTGAGAGGACTTGGAGAACCATAATCCAAGATCAAGAGAACCTTTAAGATAGCGGAGAATACGTTTTACTGCTTGCAGATGGGAAAGGCGGGGACTATGCATAAACTGACATACCAAATTCACAGCAAAACTAAGATCAGGTCGAGTCCAAGTCAAGTACTGAAGAGCTCCAACAAGAGATCGATATTCAGAAGCATTATCGAGCAGTGGAGACAAGTGATCCAGCTTAGTGGTACTGAGAGGGGTGCTGCAGGGCTTGGCACCTTCCATTTTTGCTTTTGCCAATAGATCCAAAATATACTTGGTTTGAGAGATGAAAAGACCAGAAGATGATCGTTTAACTTCAATACCAAGAAAGTAATGAAGAGCACCAAGATCCTTGATGGGAAACAGATCACTGAGTTGAGTTATGACTTGTTGACAAGCTGCAGAAGAGGGCCTGGTGACTAAGATGTCATCGACATAGACGAGGATGAATACCGGAGTAGGAGAACTCTTTATAAACAGAGAATGATCACTTTGGGAGCCTTTAAAACCAAGAGAGTGCAGAGCAGGATGAAGCTTGTCATACCAGGCTCGAGGAGCCTGTTTCAAACCATAAAGGGATCTGTGAAGATGACAAACATTATGCGGGTTGGTTGGATCTTCAAAGCCAGGAGGCTGTTGCATAAACACTGATTCAGTAAGGGTGCCATGGAGAAAGGCATTGCTGACATCTAATTGATTGAGGAACCAATCAAACTGAGCAGCAAGAGTGAGCAGGAGACGAATAGTCACTGGTTTGGCCACGGGACTGAATGTTTAAGTGTAGTCAAGACCCTCTTGTTGCTGAAAACCCTTAGCAACCAAACGGGCTTTGTACCTGTCAATAGAACCATCGGGTTTCCGTTTGATCCGAAACACCCACTTACATCCCACAAGATTATGAGAGGAATAAGGAGGTACAAGTGACCATGTACCAGTAGAGGCAAGGGCATTGAACTCCTCTTGCATTGCCTTGCACCAATGAGAGTGTTTAGAAGCTTGTAGGTAGGTTGAAGGAACATAATCAACTACAAGATGGGAATGAATAGGGTGTTTGGTTGCAGCTAAGGCTTTGGGTTTGAATATGCCAGATTTTGATCGAGTTTGCATTTGGTGGGTGTTGATAGGTAATATAGGCTGGGAGCAGGGATTGGGGGAAGCTGCAGATGGTTGGAGCAGATTTGAAGATTCTGCAAAGGTGGGAACCGGGGTTGGAGAAGGGACAGAGGGTGTAGGTGGGGTAGAGATAGAATGAAATGTGAGTGATGAGGGAATAGAGGATGGGTATAAGGGAGAGGAGGAGACAGGTTAGGATGAAGAAGAATGTAAGGTATGAAAGGGAAAAGTGGACTCATCAAATATAACATGCCTTGAAATATACAACCGGTTAGTAGATGGATGTAGACATAGATAGCCCTTGTGATTTAAGCTATAACCCAGGAAGACACAGGGTGTGCTTCTAGGATCTAGTTTGGAGGATGTGTATGGTTTCAACCAAGGGAAACAGCGACAACCAAAAACCTTGAGAGATTTATAGTCAGGTTCTTTCTGGAAAAGAGACTGCCAAGGAAAGGATCGAGATATTGTGGGTAGCCGATTGATGAGATAAACAAAGGTAGCAAAAGCCTCAACCCAATAAGCATGAGGCACTTTAGATGCTGCCAAGAGAGTTCGAGAGGTCTCAACAATATGCCGATGCTTACGTTCGGCACACCCATTTTGCTTGGGGGTATGAGGACAAGTGAGCTGATGATGAATGTCATGGCGAGCTAAGAACTGAGAGAATGCAGTGCTAACAAATTCACCACCAGAATCTGAACGTAATGTAATAACTTTTGTACACAGAGAATTCTCAACAAGTGATTTCCATTGCATAAAGGTGGAGAGTACATCAGATTTACACCTTAAAGGATAGAACCAACAATATTTGGTATAGTCATCTATGAAAATGACATAATACCGAAAACCATGATGAGACAGTATGGGTGAGGGTCCCCAAACATCCGTATGGATAAGCTCTAAAGGCTTTCGGGTCGTACAAGTAGTACTAGAAAAATGAAGTTTAGAACATTTTCCTAGTGCACAATCGGAGCAAAAAGCTTTATTTGAAGCATCAAGAACATAAATACAGGATTGAGAAACCAACTTATTCATGATCTTTACAGAAGGATGGCCCAGTCTTTGATGCCAAAGATGCTTTGGAGCTTTGACAGAGGCAGCTAAAGCTTGATGAGAATTCGCAGGAGAGAAGGATGAGTGAAAAGGATAGAAGCCATGTTGAACTGGTCCTTTAAAAAGCATTCTCCCCGAAGAAAGATCATTCACAGTGAAGTGAAAAGGATAAAGATGCATAGAACAAGAATTGTCAAGAAGAAATTGATTAGCAGATAGAAGATTGTGCTTTAAAGCAGGAACATGTAAGACATGATTTAAAGCAAAAGAATCAGTAGAAGTATGCAAAGAGGATGAGCCAGAATGGAGAATAGGCAAACCTTTGCCATCTCCAATATACACTTGCTCAGGACCAGTGTAGGCTTCTGGATTCTGAAGGTTGGCATACGAGTTTGTCATATGAGAACTAGCACCAGAGTCAACAATCCAGGTTGGAGGAGAATGAGAGGTACCAGCAACCATTGCAGAATGAGAAGATTTGCCATTGTAGTTTTGATCCATGCGATGAGGACAATCACAAGCCTCATGGTCTGGTTGTCGACAAATCTGACAGAAAAGTTTTCGAGTGGAAGAGTAGTTATTGCGAGCTCCACGATTGAATCGCTGATTAAGACGAGAGTAGGTATTCTGCCATTGTTGAATCTGGAATTTCCACGATTCTGAAAATTGCCCCGATTTGGACCCGAATAATTGCGATCCACATTGCGACCTTGATTGGAGAACTGAGAAGGATGCTGAGCAGTAAATGCTTGAGAGATAGAGGGAGCAGGAAAGGGAAGAATACCAGCCGAGGAATTATATGCCTGAAATGGTGCAGTTGAGACAGATTTCTTCCGATTGTTGAGTTGAATCTCCTTACTGAGAAGTAATCCGTGTAATTCATCAATAGTCGTGGAACCAAGACGAAACTGAATAGCATCCACAAAGGAGTCAAATTCAGGAGGTAAGCCATGAAGTGTGACTGAGATGAGATCAGAATCTTCAACAGGAGCACCAGCACTTGCTAGGGCATCGGCAATTTCTTCAATTTGCTGGAGATATCGAGCAGCAGTCAAATCACCTTTAACAAGACTGCGAAGACGAGAACGAAGCTCATGGATGTGAGACTGAGATGCAGTGGCGAGACGCGATTCCAATTTCGCCCAAAGTTCGCGAGCAGAAGTGACGCCAACTGTGTAAGGAATCAAAGATTCAGACAGAGTGGAATTGATCCAGATGAGAATGTTCTGATCATTCTCAAACCAAGTAACGTAAGCAGGATTGAGAGTCGCGGTGCGATTGCCAGAAGAATCAAGGAGATATTTGGGCGGCGCCGCCATGGAT